TCCGGGATTTGAACCCAGGCCCTTTATTGCAATCAGACTTCCCTAACCACTCCATCTGCCGGGTGAAACTTCATAAATAATTTTTGATTCAATAAGTACTATTTAAAAAAAAAATAATTTGAACAATAAAATTATAGCCTATTGTGAGGTAATAATTTTATTGTTGACACTAACACAAATTTTGGTGGAAAAGCTAGAAGAGGCATCAATAACATTTTTACGAACCGTCTGAATCAAAAAATTATTCGAGTAAGTTGTGCAGCGCACATTTTACACAATACTATTCAAACAGCATCTGATTTACTTCCAGTGGATGTTAAAAATATTATTGCAAAAATTTATTCGTATTTTTATATATATGCTGTGTGCGTAGAAAGTTTGAAGGATTTTTGTGAAAGCACAGAAATCGAATATAAAAGAATTATTGGTTACAGCAAAACAAGATGGCGATCTCTTTTACCATCTGTAGAAAATATTTTTAAAATATACGAGCCATTAAAATCATACTTTTTATCACAAGATAAATGTCCAAGAATATTGCAGCTCTTTTTTGAAAATGAGACATCACAAATTTGTCTTCAGTTCATCCACAACCAAGCTACATTATTTCACAATGCTGAGAAAATTATTGAAGGGGACAAAATTTCGCTTATGAAAATGTCAAATGAAATCAACAATTTAAAAGCAAAATTGTGAGAAAGAGTTGATAATGATTACATTCCTTTAGTTATTTGGAAGGAAATCACTAGGTTGGAAGAACAAGGTGCCATATTAAACGACATGATTTTCTGAAAGAAGTCAGAAAATTTTATAACTGCTTGGAATATCTTGAAGAATGGACAGTTCAGTTCAAGGATATTAAAAACTTTCATTGGGTGACATTAAAAAAGGAGATTTTATGGGAATATGAGGAAAAATCTTTTTAATATATTAGTATCCATTTTCTGAAAAATAATATTTTTGATGAATTGTCATTGGTAAAAAGATACATTATTGATGAAAAAATTAAATGTTGGTTGCCTGCAAATGGGGAAACAGACAAGAAATAGACAGAATTATTCCTTCATTTTAAACAGAATAATATTCTTTATAAAAATATTTTGAAAATTGTAGAACACGCACTTTCCCTTCCAGGAACAAATGCAGCAGCAGAACATGTTTATCAGTAAAATATGGACTGAATAAAAACACAGTTGAACATTAACACTTTAAAATCTGTATTAAGCCTAAAATATAATGAGAAATTTCATGACATTTTAATAAATGATCCAAATCTATTGCAAACTATTCACCTGGATAAAAAATATTAAGAAAGAAAATCCTAATTTTTTTTAAATAAAATATTAAAAAACATAATATTCAAATTATTGTTTTTTTTACAAATATTTTTATAGTTACCAATAGTTAATAATAAGTATATTTTTTTGTATAGACAAGTATATGAATGTATATAATAAAATATTTTTTTTGAATTATTGGTCTGCTTTCATAATTAAATTATAATTCTCATTTCATTCCATTTGTCCCGCTTTGTCTCTATGAAAATGTGGTCACTTTATGCTAGTGTTAAAAGTCTTAAGGATGCAAACAGAGCTCATCTAAGGTTGCTTGTCTTACTTATAAAGAAAAGACAGATTATTTAAACATTATATTAAAAAAATCTATTCAAGTATGTATTGCTTAATTTAATGACAAATCAGTATTACTTTATAAATAAATCGTCTGTGTATTATATAAAATTTTAACTTACCTAACTAACTAATCAGTATTTCTGAAAATACAATAAAATAACAAACCAAAGTAACCATTTTTACAGAAGATTAAATCATCTGGAACCATGGGCAATCTCAAGGAAGTTTCATTATAAATATACTATACAGATAATGTGTAATTATATTGAATAATCTTAAGTTAGCTCTGGATTCAGGAACTCGCAGCATTTCTCAATAGTTCTCAGTTTTCTGTAGTGTAAATTTTAATACTGATACTGTGATATTTAAAGCTGTAATGTTTACAATTATTTGATCATGCCAAAGAACGAGACAATGAAGAAATTAGATGCAAATCTTGATGTAATTAAAGTAAATTTGCAAGCAAATTTACTTTTAAATAGTTTATAATACTATTTTATTCAAAGTTGATGAATATTATTGAGCAAAGCAAAAGTCTACATCTTCGAGTACATAATACATACATAACCAGACATTGAAATGGAAGATTTGTCAATTTTATTTGTTGGAAGAATGCACATAGAAACAAATTCCAGTTGGTGCTCGTGATATCATTTTCAAAGGTCTAAATTCTTTTTCAAGTTAAAGAAAGTAGTTCGAAATTCACAGCAAGTATAGCAGCTAATTCAAAAATTCTAAATCTAAAGTGGATTAGAGAATGTGAAAAATAACAATTAGTTATAAGTACCATTGCAGATGCTGCATCTTCAATCTGAATTATAGAAGAAAATTATTACAATTATTGCCATATTTTTAATACAAGTAAAACTGGCTTCTGTAGGAATTTAATGACATCAAGCAACAGCACAGCATAGGATTTTGGTTGATAAGGAAAAGCTGATGAAATGATTTTTTTTTTTTTTTTTTTTTGTAATAATAAGTAAAGTTTCTCTAGTAATTATGCAGTTTCAACACAGGGTGCAGTTAACCTAATTTCATGAAAATGTTCCAGTTTCTAATAACTGTTCTAAAATTTAGAAATTTTATTTGGCCCGCATTACATGACGTGAAAGTAAAATTTGTCCATTTAATTAGCATAAAATGATTTAATGATGCTTAAGAGAAGTTCTTTGAAATAGCATACTGAAATTCTTGAAGTTCTTAAACCTAAGCATGTCCTTTTTTTTTTTTTTTTTTTTTTTCAGGATTTTAGGTGGCAGAATATATTTCCATATCTTTCATATAAACAATTAGGTACACAAGGAAGAATGTATTTATTTTCTAGGAAAATATCTATTTCTGAAAAAGACATTTAAACAAAAGTAAAAATTACTCTTATTTTTTGAAGCAGATAAGATAGTAAAAGGATTGATATTGGTCATGGTGCTGCAAATATTATAAAAGACCATTTCATCTTATTCAAAAAATCTATTTATTTATTAGAAGCTGATATATAATTATTTCTAAATACTTAATTGCACAATTTTCCAATAATAATCCATTTTTTAATGATCTATGGCACTTCCATTAAACTGGAAAAGTTTATATATAGGGAAGTTGTTTTACATATCTATTTTTTACAACTTTCATATTAACAGGGCAAATTAAATATGGCTATTATACATGCATGAATGAGAATGTTGACATAATACAATATAAATATAGATCATATTTTATAGTTCTTGGTACAGGATCTAAAAAATGGAATGTAGTGGATTAAAGCTTTTTGATATTACCAGTCGCAAATGCATGTAGGAAAGGGGTTTTTCAATTAATAACAGCTTTGCAATGAAAGACAGATTATCATTATCATATTTGCATGTCAGTTCAATTTGAATTAATAACGATACAAATGGTTACATAATTCTTAGTCTAACGATTACTAATAATTATTATATCAAATTAAAACTTGTAAGTAGAATATTTTGTTTTATAAGTGTTTAATTTTAATTTGGTGATGATAAAATTTTTGGCACAGTGTAAAACTAAGTTGCTTACCAAAAGAGCATATGTGCTGCAAGTTAAAATGTGTGCTTTCCTTGAGCTTAACAAAATTGCTGAACAAGATACGTTAACATATAGCATGTGAGAAATAAACATAACACAAAGAAGATGCAAGTTGGATAATTGGGGATGAACTAGATTAGAATGTTGTCAGGCATTTGGCTGTATCGACTTCATATATATGTTGTCTAGAACATTCGGCTAGATTCGTATTTCCATAGCAATCTTCGAGAGACCTTTACCACAATAGGATTCTATAGATCAGATCACAATATCATGCTGAACATGGCCACTGGCCATGTTGATAACCAGAAGGACATAGGTCTTCTCATGCACAGAAATAGAAACACCTTCTTGACTTTCACTGCAGGACTATACAACATTGAACTTTAACCATTTTCAGCACTGCAAAGCCGCAAGGGAGAAATGCAAATTTCTCAACAATAAGGGAGCAATGAATGTTTTAGCTGTTGCTCTTCTAATTAGAAGATCAGCTTAAGAGAATGCAGAAAGTTATCAAACAATACAGAATGACAAAATGTTCCTGAAATGCACAAATTTAAAATTATTGTTAAATGAAAGAATGCTGCACAGAAGACAGTATAATAACTGGAAAAAGCAGTTAATGAAAGTAGTTTGGATGAAATCAAAATTCTGAAATAATACTTTCTGTGATAATTAATGAAATGACTGCTAATTATTCCAAGTTAACTGAATATCTTTTGGCAAAAGCAACAAAACTTAAAGCTAAACAACTGAACTATGGTTTGGAAACATTTTTCAACAAATGCCAGAAAAGATTTTAATAAAATGTATTTTTCATACTGTTTTTGAAGATAAGCTTAAAAAGCGTAAGTATTTGACCATGTGTAGAAATTTCACTGTTTTTTGGAGTTGAAATAAAAATTTTAGAAAATATTTTAAAATATCCTGTTATAACATTATATTTAAAAAATAGATAGTTTGCATTAAAATTGTACAGCTTCAGGTTAAAAAAAATTAATGAAATAGTTTAAAATGAAAAATAATTGAAAAAGAAAAAATTTTAAACCTATTCCGAGATGCTATATTTAAAGTAAATACATGCATTACAGCTACTGTGATAGCCACTTAAATGCATAATAAACTATTTAGTATATCTTATCGCTTAATGTATACACACTGACATAGTAAATTAACTAAAATTAGATTCACGTTAGTCTTAAGTGTGAAGTGATAGTGTACCCATGGCTACTGATAAAGTTCATTTACGTATGCCACTGTATTTTATACGAATTTCAACAAGGAAGAAATGCTACAGAAGCATGTAGAAATTTATTGAAAGTGTTTCCTAGAAATCCTTTATTTTACACACACACATATATATCATTGAAACCCAAATAAGCTACTGAGGGAAAATTTGGCACTGAAAACCACATAAATGAATCATCCAGTCATAACATAAAATTTATTAAGTTCATACAAAGGTTAAATAAAAAAATTAAGATATTAAATATTTATCACACGACTCAGCTTTTGGACTCTGTTTAGAAGGATGTCTCCTTGTTTAATGCAAGCCTGTAAAAAAAATGCTGCTATATATCAAAACCAATAAATCAGTTAAAAATAATTTTACAAAATACATCTTAATGAAATTTATATAAACAGTTTATAATAAAAAATCTTCAGCATAAATAAGCATTACACAGTTACAGAACAAAAATCTGCACGGCCTCTCAGATACCAATAATGAAATTCGCACTTAATAGGACGGTGAAACTACAATCATGACTGACAACCTTATGGCAAAGGGAAATGCTGATTGCATAACTGATATTTTTTGCTGCCCATTGGTTAAGGAAAAAATATTAAGTTTTGAAACTGAGTAAAAACAGTGATATTATGCAACCACATGATGTTTCAGATAGAAGTACAATCAAAAGTCATTAATCCGGACGTCCATAATCCAAAATGATCTATAATCCAGACCTTAAAGCTACGAACTTTCTGAACACCTTTATGCATGCACATATGCGTTTATGCATTTGCATAATACGTTTACGCATGCACGTTTAATGTATAATGGACAGTATAAGCTAAGCTAAAATTACCTATTTCAGTTAATGTTGCAGATTGTGTTGTTCCTTAATCTTCGAATTGGATCTGGCTTATTATTTTTTACAGACTGTTAGATCAATTTTATAAAAGTAAGCTTGAACTTTCGATTATGTCAAAAAGAATTTCCGATTCTGAAGCTGCCGACGGATCTACAAAGAAAAAGCATGTTTCGATGTCCATCTAACAAAAAGTGGAATTGCTGCAAAAAATGGATAAAGGCATATCCTTTGTTTCTCTAACCATCCCAAAATCTGTTTATCAATTTCACGCTGCTCTGTGTGTGGGGGGGGGGGACGTCACAGCGCAATGAGCTGGAAGTTGATCTGTCAGCACTATCCTTATCTTCAGGGCAGATGTTTTGATTTTATTTGGCTTATAATTCCTTACTAAATGTAGTATTTCATCTCGATGTACTCCGTCTTTGATATGATTTAAATCAAATTCCTCGTCATTATAAATATCACGAATACACATCAAATAGTTTTCTGGTTGCAATTTTCTAATTTCGACTATGCGTTATGTATGCTTTATGCATGCGGTCATTGAAAGAAATGTTTAACCCTTAACTTCCTACTGTTGCATTTCTGCAACATATGATTTATTTTAATTTAACAGACTCAATATTTTTTTTAATTACCTACAAATCACTTATCTAAGGAAAAAAGGTTACTGCAACGAAATACATGCTAAATTTGTCACTAGATAGCAGCACATTTTTTCCAGAAATCACAACAATTATAAAAATCTCCGATGCCTTAAGAACTGTGTTTTTGCCATAAAAAGATTCCATTATATTTTATGCTTCGACTTGTTTATTGGCAAAAACAATTACCAGGTACGAAGTTTAAATATTTTATGTTCATTTAAAAGAAATTTTGATTTTCTAATAGAAAAAGTTTGAAAGAAATTTGATTTTAATTATATGGTGCAGGTCTGCAACATTGGTCTTTGGTTACCATTTTGACATGGCCAAAAAGTGTATACTAACCCAAGATGAAATTGCTAGATATATGAATAATTTGGGCAAATTGAGTGATTTAAGTGAGGAATGGTCTTGAATATTCTGCTGATGATGTTCATTTTTTACATGATTGTGTGTCATCTAATGAATGATTCTGATAATGACTGTGAAAGAGTGTTGTTTCACAAAATACAATTCAGAATATAAAAACATCTGATGATGATGATAATAAATTTGATAGAAATATTTCAGCCAGTGTGTGATTATGGCAAAGACTCGAGAGCTATCTGCCTACGGGGAGGGATGCCTTCAAGGAGGATTTTCTAAGGGAAACTGGCTTGTATACAAGTTACACATGGGAAAAACCACGAAAACGAACTATCAGTGTTCAGCGACTTTACTGCTCGGCCGCTGGTATATTACAGTCAGAAAACCTTTTCTAAATTTAACTCTTTAAGAATAATAAAGCATTGTCAAAGAATATTTATGGAAAAATACAAAACATTTCATTGAATTGAAGAAGTAATAAAATTCCATGGAGATGATACATGCTCCCAAGAGAAATTACGGATTTGGACACACCATACCAATTTTTTTAAAATATTTATGGACGGAAGAGATCATACAGTAACATTTATGAAGGACAGCAAACGATATGCTATTGAAAAGAATCCAAGTAAGCCTTTGACTATATCAGAGAATGAAACAAATCAATATTTGGGCATTTGTTTTTATACATCTCTAGTGTCACCTGCCAAACTATAAAACATACTGGTCAGAAGAGCTTGGATTTGATCGAATTAAAAAAACAATGAAGAAATCTGAAAATAAAAAAATAATAATAAAATAAAATAAAATAAAAAAAAAATCTAATGAATTTACAAAATTCAAATCTGAAGTTGCATCATGCTTATGCAAAATGGGGTACAATCGAAATGCCAAAAGAGGAAGATCTAGTAATACTTCAATAGAACAAATGTCCAATGTCTTAGACTAAAAGATGCAAAGGGACTGCCCAATCCGTTCCACGTAAGGAACATTCGTGGAGATGGCTATAAATCATTGGCCAATATGGTCAGAAATAGAATACGGTGCAAGTTTCATTCAAACTGCAAGAGCTACACTCAAACTCAGTGCGAAAAGTGTAAAGTAGGGGACTTTTTCACAACATAGTCAATAACTGCTTTAAAAAAAAATTTTCATTGTATGTAAGGCTAAAGCAATTTATAACAATGAATAATAAATCCTCATATAAAAAAAAGTTTTTGTAATTTTACAGCACACTACTGCGCATGTTGCACTTCTCAACAAAAAAAAAAAAAAAAAAAAAAAAAAAAAAAAAAAAAGACTGAAATTCAATTTAAAACTGCTTAATTTTTTAAAAAACAACACCAGTTACAGCTTTATGAATATTACTTTTCAACATTTTTTTAGTTCTCATGGAATCTTGACTCAGTCTTTGTTATTTAGAATAAAACGAGATAAAAGCTTTTCAGTATCTCTGTCACTAGTTAAAATTCCATGACGATCCTTAAAAGGGTCCCTAGTAATTTGGGAAGGGCCAGCCTCTAAGTTGTTAACATACCTAAAACTTACAATCAGATTTATAATTCATTGTGCTAATAAAAGAATTAAAACTTTTCTGCTTTGCTTCATAAATTTCATTTCGAAGGGAAGCAACACATTTCCTTCAGTTTTGTACTTCCTCGGCCCTCTTTGTTCAGCAGAAATACGAGCCTTATTGCACTAGTCTCTCAAGGCCCCGGAGATGTACAGACCAGAACAGTTTGTAATTGCAAGGTTTTCCTCTGGGAATCCACTTTTTAGCAACTCTGTAGATTGTCTTACAGAACCTCTTAAATGAAGTATCAATGCTTCCAATACGGAATTTATTATCATCTTCAAAAGCCTGCTCCAGATCTGCAGTAAATGTATTCCAGTTGGCTTTTTAAAAGTTCCATCTGCTTTGTGATCTACTATATTTGGCATTTCTTTTTATAGGAGCATTTTCTTTGATTGTTGTAAGGATTGCTCTGTATCTAGAGCCGGGGTCATAAATTACATTTCTTGCGGCATTAGGTGCTATATCATCCGAAACCATAGTTAGGTCAGGATTTGTAGATGTGCCGTTGTAATGTAGGTAGGTGCAAACAATGGATGGGTGGTATAGAAAATTTAAAGGTGTTGAGTTGAGAAAATCTTCTACAACTCTACCTGCACTATTGTAGTCAGCATAGTTCCATCTAGTGCTATAACCATTGAAATCACCCATTAGCACTGTTTTTCTGGAGAAAGAGAGAGTGTTACCAGGTGGACTGAAGCACATAAAAATTGTACAATGGACATTGTTTTCCCAAACTTCAGTGCAAACCAACTCTTTGCCGCTGATAGAGTCTTAAGTCGCAAATAATTGTGAAAGAAGAAGTAAGAGATTTCTTTAGTCCAACAAGAATACCACTTGCGACTCGTCTTGATTTAGGTAACATATGTAAGAAGTATCCAGTGGAATTTTAAGGATTCCAAAGTCAGATTAGCTTCAACAATGTAAAACACATGAGCATTATCCTTATCTAGAACAGTTAGGAGTTGAGTCCTTTTTCATGTGAGAAGCCGCCAGCATTCCACTAATATGCATATAATTTCATAGATAAACTTATTAAATGTGTCATTAATAATTTAAAACAAAACTGAATTTAAATACTTTCCTGAAAAACATTATTAATAAAATTAAATATATATGTCTGCCAAAATATTAATAAATATGTATAACAGGTCCTACAAATTTTGCGATGGATTTAATTAATAAAAAAATCATGCTGAAATATACATGTCAGCCAAAATATTAATAAATCTGCATAGCACATCCTACAAATTTTGTGGTGGATGTAATTAATCAAAAAATCATTTGGAAATGACAGATCACTGAAGAAAATTTTTTAGAAAAGAATTTATTTTATATGTATAGATATTTAAAACATTTCCTTTTGCCTTGAAAACTTAGTGATTAACATTTATTCTGGAACTATGTTTAAAAGAAATGATTAAAATTCAAATAAATGAAAAAAATAAGACTTTTGGAGATTTACCAGGAGAGATACTAACTCTAGATAATATATTCCTTTAAAATAGAATTTTCTCTATATTTAACATGTACATTTCTATAAAAATGAAAAAAGTAATTAATTGATTTTATGAACTTTTTGTCTAATAGACTTTTTATTATGACCTGAAATCCAATAAAGAATTACATCATTAATTATGGACTCTGGTCAACCTATGTATAACCAGTGGTGAATCATGAAAATTTTAACAAAGGCCAACATTTTATTTTATAGAAACAAGATATAAAATAGTTTGCATTTTACTAAAACAGAAAATACTAATAATTGTACATGAAACGAAAAATTTTTAAAAATAAAACTAACATTAAAAAACAAACATTAAAATAATAAAACCACAGGAAAAATATAAAATTTGTTGATCTACAATGTTCTGAGGTCGATATTTGATGATTTTTTTAAAAAATAGTTTCTACACAATATTAAATTAAGATCTATAAGATTAAATTCTCCTAAAAACCTCTCATTTAAGGAGATTGACATTAAATCTAAATCTGTTGTTCCATACAAACTGGATTACAAACACAGAAAATTGCTTTTAATTATCCATTGTTAAGTTTTTTTTTTTTTTTTTTATCCATTTTCCTTTTTCACTTAACAAATACTTTGCTACAATAATCTATTTTAAAAGGACATCTTGAAAAATTTAAGTAATTTTTCTCTCAATAATTTGTGAAATTTATATTCTTGCTTTCAATTATTAATCATTAAAACCCTTTAATTTTTTAACACAGAATTAATTTTAGTTTTATTACAATTTTTAAAATCGCCACTAATGCATCGATTGTTCTCACAATGAGAAATTAGCTTTTGTGAAACTAATATTACAAATGTGTAGAGTTTGACGGATGTCATAATTCTTCTAGGATATCAATCATCAGTGCATGGTCTTAATTCCAAATTTAGAAACCAGTTTAAAAATATTCATATTTTTGTACTGTATAAAATGGATAGTTTTTCTACACATCAAGAACTCTTTCAAATGCTAAATTTTTAGGAACAGAAAGACTAATATAAGTCTGATTATGATATGCAATACATGTGTTTTTCTTGGAATAAACAAGCAAAAAAAAGGGAACAAAATGATTCCAAATTACAAACACATTTAACAAACGGCTCGCAGCTCATTCATCTACAAGTACTACTATAGTACTACAGTCTAAAAGTACTACTTTTTTTTTTTTTTTTTTTGTTTGTTTCAAAGATGAATCAAAACAACTTAATTTGAAATCAAGAAGTAAATATATATTCAGAATATATACCTGGTACTGATAGTTCTTACTATCAGGTCTGTTTGTTTCAACTATTCCTCCAACTTTATCAATTTTACAATGAAGTCTTCCAGCAGCAATGAATCTTGCTAATTCCCTATAAAATTATGTATACAATTTAATTTTAATTTTATTAAGAATAGTATTGCTTAAAAAACATATATTCTATTTACCTGTCAATAAATTCAGTTGTAACTCCAAATGCATCTGCCATATACTGCAATGTTAAACTTCGATATGATTCAAGAAGTTGTGTATACGCTAAAATTCTCATTTCTCTCACATAATAACGAAAATGTGGAGCAAGGAGGCGATCCTGTTTAAGCATTTTTTCTACCAATGCTGAAGAAGAAAAATAAGCATAAGATAAATTAAATACAATATAGAAATAAACAACAGAAAACAATTTATAAATACCAAATTACTGCATTCGAAGGAAAATTGGAATTTTTTGTTTATAAAATATGTACAGTCAAAAGTCGTTAATCTAGACTCGTCGGGACTTCGGCGATTCCGGATTATCGATTTTTCCGGATTATAGATCATCAGTTTAAATCTGGTAAGATGGCATGCAAAAATTATAAAATTAAAAATATGAAACCGTAATTTATGAAATAAAGAACAATTATGATCTAAAGGGTATCAAAATTTCAAAAAAAAAAAAAAAAAAAAAAAAAAGCTTAATATTTATTTGTTTACTTTATTAAACATTTCTTTCAATTGTAAGTTGTTTAAGTTGCTTCGTTTTTTATGTGATAATACATTCTATTTAATTCTATAAACAGACATAATTTCTTGTTCAGTTACAAAGTTCCGCTGTTCAAGTCCTATAATTGCTGTGTTGAATACTGACTAATTTGTCAATCGAAATTTTTTCCGTTTTCAATAACCTCTGTCACTTTCTTCGCTATCGGAAGCGAATTATAATGATGAAGAATTTGATTTAAATCGAGATACGACGGAGTACATCGAGATGAAATACTACATTTAGTAAGGATTTATAAGCCAAATAAAATAAAAACATCTGCCCTGAAGATAAGGATAGTGCTGCCAGATCAACTTCCAATTCATTGCGCGTGGCCAAACATTAAAGTTTAGATAAACAAAGGATATGCCTTTATCCATTTTTTGCAGCAATTCCAATTTTTGTTTAATGGTTTCGAAACATACTTTCGCTTTGTAGATCCTTTACATATTAGTAAATATATATCGGAAATTCTATTTGATATAATCGAAAGTTCAAGCTTACTTTTATAAAATTGCTCTAACAGTCTGCAAAAAATAATAAGCCGGATCCAATTCGAAGATTAAGGAACAACGCAATCTGCAACATTAACTGAAATTAGATAATTTTTAGCTTAGCTTATACCGTCCGTTATACATTAAATGCGCATTCGTAAATGTATTTTGTGCATGCGCACACGCATATTCGCAGCCGTAAACGTCTTACGCGACGCATGCGCAGAAAGTTTGTAGCTTTGAGGTCCAGATTATAGATCATTCCGGATTATGGGTGTCCGAATTAATGACTTTTGACTGCATTATAATATCATATTCAATATAGTCTCATTCTAGTTTGATACATTTAGGCCAACATTTGAGGAGTGAACTTATGCTGCAGGAAATGAATTTTGACAGAAGTGCAGCCACTCAAACATCAGCATTGTTTTACACTAAAGATCTCCAGATCTCCAGATGATACTTTGCAGATACTTTCCTGATGACACTTTGCAGAAATCCTTCATCATCACACTCATACTGATGGAGGAACAAACATGGCACTCTCTTTTTTTTTTTTTTTTCCATTTCAGGTATCAAGTCCCTCAGCTTGTGAACAATTTCATAGGTCCATTCAGGCATAATTTCCAATTATGATGCCACCTTCTTGATTACAATGCACCATTTTTCTTGTATCACATCCTTTAGGGCTGTACTCTGTGACTGCTGTGCCTTCCACACTAAATTTATTCATAATTTAATGTATGATTCATACACCTATCACTAGAATTCTCATCTGAGAATAAGCCTATACAGGTTTTACTCCTTTGCTTAACAAAAATCTCACAAAAGTTCATTGTTCTTGATGGTGTTCTGTTGCAGGTTTACAACAACTTATCACACTGTTTCCATTGATTTTGTAGCACTGTCAACATGTCAATGATATTGGCCACTCGTATGATTTTTAATACAATTTTCCAGGCATCCTGCTGAACAACCTAATATAATAAAACTAATCTCTTTTAATGTATTTCATAGATTATTTAGAAAAATGTTTTCTTTCTAGATTTATTTTCAATTTAAATTAATAGTAATATTCTCTTTCCACATGCATATGATTTTTCTTTTTACTTGATTAATCAATTTTCTTCCAACTGTCAAAGAAAATCTACAAGATTTTTAATATTCTAAGGTAATTCTGATAATCACTTTCTGATTTTATCTTTCTAATTTTGGTGTATTTTAATGAAATTAAATGAAAACTAAAAAATTTATGTATGTGATAACTTTATAATAAATTTAAATTTCACCAATTTTCTATTTAATTATTTTTTGAGTGGAAAAATTATTGCCTTATCACAAATTTATTCCAAAATTTAAAGATAATCAGACATTTGCACTAAGATCTAGAATTCTTTCACTGTAGTATTTGAACTTCATTTACAAAATCAGAAAAAAAAGAATATAAAATAATTTTTTTCATTACTATTTTAAGAATTATTCCTAAGAAATTCAAGATATAGAACATATAACCATATGTAATGCTATATGGATACTTTTGCTCCAAAAGATGATTTTATTCAAGTCATATTTGTGTATTTTCTTACTGCATTGTTAGCACATAGGATTTGCAACAAATACTGCATATGAAAAAACAATAATTTACATTTTGCCATAAATTTGATTGATCTTAATGGCACAAAACCATGTTTTGGTTATTACGAACTAGACAAAATATCTAAAAATAGCACAAACAGCAAACATCAGATATAAAACAGATCATTTCAAATATGAGAACAAAGTAAATTAAAGTAACAAAACTAGTTTAAAATTTTTATGGAAAAGTTAAATGCATAACTTCAAAATGCCAAAACAAAATTCTCTTTTAAAAAAAGTTTTGTTTCCAATTAAATACGTTCTGAGTTTTAAGGGCAGATTTAAAATATATGTTACACACTTAACACAAAATAGATACTTTTTAATAATTGACCACTTTTAAAAAAATAATAATAAAGAGACTAATTCTACATTTAAAAGTAAGCCTAAATACCAAATTTTATAAAAATCCAGAGTAAATTTTTAAAGCAATCATTTTAAAATTAATAAAATTTTAAATGTTTTCCAGAAACAAAATTTCTTTTAAATTTTACTAATCCAAGAATAAAATTTCATAAATAAAGGACATTTCCCTAAAACGACCATTATGAAAATAACCAGTATTTCCAGCATAATAAATAATGGAGCTAAATATTACTGTTAATCATATTTCTATGACACATCAAAACTGCTTGGAAACACTAATGGTTTCATTGCGTGTGCACAGCACAAATACACAAATAATTCTCATCATTCTTGATCTTTTGAAATAATTTTCCATAATTCTTTTATTTAATACAAAAGTTAGAGCACATTTAACCCTTAAATAATGTGATAAAGGCCCCAGAAACTCAAACATCTTGCTTTGTCGAACAACTCTTCCAAATATTAGATCAGGTAGTTTTCCTTATTTGTAGTGGAAATATTGACCATGTTTTATTTTAACTGTGACTAAATGATTATACATTTATAAAAGGTACAGTTTTATTTACATATCCATTGCACCTAGCAATATTATATGCATACAGGTACAATCTTATGATCCTTTAATGAAAATTATTAAGAAAACTTTATAAACTGCTTTAATCCAAGTAACTAGCAATGAGACAGTGTGCTTGTTTTTCTTTGACACTGAAAATTACCAAATAAAATAAAAACGGAAATTTTAATAATACTGACAAAAGAACCATAACATTTTTTTATATATATTAGAAATTCTTTTTACATGTTTGGAAAGCTGAAGTTATTAAAGAGTATAATTTTGAGGAAAGAATATCCTTTAAAGTTATAAATCAAAGCATATTTGCCATTGTCTTTCTATTACCTTTAAATCCACTTTTACCTTCTTCTGGACAAAACATCTACACCATTAAATGAGAGAAATGGAACCCCTCAAAGAAAATATTTAAAATCATCAAAAAAATAAAACACATGCATTTTATTCTCAGATGTAAACAAAAATCTCTAACTTTGAGTCTACTCAATTATCATCTTCCCTTAAATAATATTCTTAAACATACTGCAGCTCTAATTTTGCAAAAAATTGTTAGTTTCATATTATTTAAATTAAAACACTGTATTTGTAAAAGTACAATTTTAGTGATAAATGATATCAAATGTAAAAAACTGCTATCAAACTAAACCTGAATGATAAAGCCCACCAGTGGCTGAGCGGTAAAATCACTGAACATTGGTAGTTCTGACCTGGGTTCGATTCCAGCAAATGGGCTGACTGCATGGGTGTTTTCATAGTTTTCCCTATGTGTAACATGTATACCAGCATGTTTCCCTTAGAAAGTTCTCTACGAAGCAACCCTTAGGAAAATAGCCCTGGCGTGCTTTGTCATAATCAACTAACCAACCAAAATGATAAAAGGAGCATAAAATTCAGATCTGGCATTATGGCTTTTAATCTGATACAAATATGAATTTTTCACTAACCATCATTTAACAATAATGCAGAATTTTAGTAAGATGATGACAAACATGTAGTAGCAGATGAATGATTAATTTTTTTTTTTTATTTAGACATAATTTTAAAGAATAATGAACAAACATAGTACTATAAGCAGAACAGATGGATGCACCCGAAGTTCAATAATTTTAGATATTTAGGTTTCACTTATATTACACAACTGGACATGGGGGATAAACATGGAAAACATTATTAAGATTTCCAGTATGTGAATACACGCGTTACAAACAATCTATAAGAATCATATATTAAAGATTAATATTGAAATAATGCAATTCAAAGGGATTTATTATAATATGCTATTACTTTTAGGACAGAAATGGAAAATAATCAAATTAAATAGACTTAAAAGGCTACTGCAAATTAGTAGTTACAAATTTTATCTTAAACATGCATATCTCTATGCCCATTTAAATTACGAATCTAAAAATATACCTGAAATACTTTGTAACTAAAATTAAACTGCAGATTATACAAAAAGGAAATTATTAAATTAAAAATAAAAATTTAATTAAAAAAGGCATTACAAATAAATTATAAACTAAAGTCAATTAACATTATGAAAATATATCTCAAGTTCTACGTTTTGAAAAATTGCTTGCGTGATTCTGCCAAAATTTAGTATTTAGGCATAGACTGATATGCAAGCAGAATTGACTTATGGTAAAAAACTGCTACTTCATTTCAAAGAAAAACCCAATTTTGTATCCAAAATGCATGTTACTACAATAAATGATATACATAAATCTAACAACAACCCAAATCATCTCTCCAAGACATAAAATATTAGAGTTAAACTAATAAATTTTAACATCTGATGCAAACCTCAAAATTGCACTCTTACTATTTAATTCCGGTCACCTCAGTTTAAAATTTAAATACAGTTTAATTTTACTCCCCCATCATTTTTTACTTGACGCATATGACTCTGCTTTCTAAAAAAAATGTTACAACTACACAATACGCTCTCCATATACAAATGGCTACCTCATGCTAAATTTAAATAATCGTAGTGTTTTAAATGCTTTTCAAATGCATTTTAATATCTTTTCATGAGAATCAAGCTGCAAAGTGCACAAATTATGTTTTAATTACATAAAGACAAAGTATAGAATTTTCAAAGTGTTTTGCATGCATAACATATGAAAGCATATACTAATTAATATTAAATAGAGCTTAAAACACTGAAAAAGTTCCATTTTTTTTAAGTCTTTATAAAGTAAGACAAGATCTTTACAGAAATGCATCAAGATTACCTAATTTTTGGAAGAACTCAGCATATTGACAATTATACAATGAAAAGAGATACTCTCTGATATCTGGAGTACTGTGTAATACTTCAAGTATTTCTGAGCCCTTTACAACCTGCAATTTAAAATTACACTTATTATACGAACGCATAAATGTTTTATATTCATCAAAAATGAAGATAAATGATCGATATACTGAAGACATAAAGCATTAAAAACCAACCTTTTCACGCAAATCCACTCGAGGCAAAGATATCATGCTGCAGATGACAGTATACGTTACAAATGTTTTATAGTCCATAAGTTCATAACTTGTAAATGTCGAAACAGTATCTAAGAAAAAATTTGCAGCATTTTTGAAATCTCGTATTGCCATGCAGTAAACACCTTGATATACTTTGAGCCGATTCCGGCGATCCCAGTCACCACCTTCTTCAATTAAACTAAAACAAATTCATATGCATTATTTTAATTTTTTTAATGGTTTCTAGTTAAAACTTAATGAAGTGAAAATCAGAATACATTCTACCGTTTTGTTATAATATAAATTAGCAAATATTTCTTCACAAGAAAATACAATATGCTTTTAAACTAGAATAATTATTTTACATAAAATTAATTACATCAATGAAAATCATTCATTGCATTAATTAATATTTTTACACACAAATACAGCAGCCAAAATATGTCAAAGCATGACAAGAATAACAATTGTATGTCCTAAACAATGCCAAACATTGGAATTGGCCATTTTTCAATATAAAAAACAATTTTTATTGACTTGCAGCCGATTTTTTTATGAAGAATTTAAGGTAGATGTTACAGTCTGGGAACTGCCAAATGCTGAAGATGTTGTTATCAAATTCTTTTAAGGTGAATTATCAACAGAAAAGGTCTCTGCTCAAATGATCTTCAGGTGGAATTATGTTTTAGTGCTAATGCGAACCAGTAACTGCAGCCTTCAAGCATGGCAAGAAAAGAAAAAAATTGCAAATCCAATAATTAACCCCTTTGTTACGTAAGGCGTTACGTTCGAACAATGGCTAGCTCAGAAGGGATTCGTAAGTCATCTACACGATGAATTAATAGCTATCTTGTCATAAATGGAGTACTTCATTTAAACTTAAGCAAAAAGATTTATTTACATAAAAGACAAGTTAAAAGAAATAAAAAAAATTTATCTAGCTACAATTACTAACAACATCATGCAAACATCGTTCTTAGCTAACTAAACCGGAACTATTCGTTTTTCTCTGGCGTCCCATGACGTCAGTCTCTATCTGGCTTTTTATTCGCTGGCGTAGTGATGCCATTCCCAACACCCTTCACGGCGACATGTTGCTGAACTAAAAACCCTCTGCAGACGTGTGTCATATATGCATCAATTCCAAATGCCACTAGCAACCGGGTGATGCACTGGTGCAACACACCAATGCAGGATTTATGTATAAGCTATACAAGCTAAAGCTTAAGGCCCTCACTTTCCTGAGGGTCCCCCCAAAATTACAATATAGTATAAACAGACTTATAAAGGGCCCCATATCTCAAATAGCTTAGGGCCTTATCAAGTCTAAATCCGGCCCTGAACACACAGTCTCCAAGGTGAGTTGTGCTAAGCGGCATGCCCTCTCATAAGAGGGTTAGCTGCTGGTGCATATATGATACACCAGACCTGAATTTTAATGAATTGCAGATTTCCAGTCCTATAGCTGTCTATTTATTTGTAGCTCCTAGTTGATTTATTTATGATGCCAAATGTAAACATTTGTTCAGGGTTTGTGCACATGGAAATTAAGTACTTTTAAGGACCATTAATGGGAAAAAAAAAAAAAAAAAAAAATAAGGGCCTATCAGCAAATGGGAACTGAATAAATTCAATTAAGATACTATCTATGCCTGAACTTCACTTTTGTAATACCATTCTAAGAATAAAATAGATCTGCAAGTAGGATGCATTATTATTATTGAACATAATTTAATAAACATGATTATAAAACAAATTTGAGAATATAATCAAGTTTATGAAATTTATCAAACAGCATTAATTATAATTATCAAACAGCATAATTAAATATTTTACACTTATAATGGTTGGATGTATTTGAAGATTAGTGACATTTTATTATGTTTTACTAACAGCTTTATGTCGATTTTTTTTTTTTTTTTTTAATGTTCCATTTTGCCATGTACTTGCTCAATCTAGAAGATGTAAACAGCAGGCAGATTTCATGTCAAATGGCATAGGTCAAAATGAGAAGTAAAATCATAATCAGCATGATTCATTAACAGAGGACTGGCTACTGCCACTGCTGCTGCTTGCCTTAGAGAGACCTGCTGATCAGAGCAAATCTGAGAGCCTGATGCAAGCACAGTTGGGCAAGCTTTGAATGTTAGCTGTGCTCTGTCTGTCTGACGCAGTTAGTATCATAGCTTAATGCAGAGTTCCTGTGGTTGTAACCCAGTTAATATAGTTTAAGATTCCAATAAGCCACTAAAGCACCAGAGGTGATAAGTTGTTTTGCATTATTTTAAATCTCAATAGATGCCATAGAATAAGTTTTACATTATTTTTTCATTTTTGTGCTGTATCTTGTAACCACAGTAAGTATTAATGGAAGGCAATAACTCACTTTAATATGCAGAGATAACTTTTAAGGGTGAGTGGTTAGTTACAAATAATTAAATTAGGTATCCTTATTCATGAAAAGTTTACATGGTCATTAGTAAATTTTATTTATTTTTTAAAAATATTTGTTAAAAAAGCAATATTAAAATCACAATTTAATGACATTTCACAGTTTAAAATACATTCAATTTATAACTTTGATTTTTAAATGATATTAGTAGAATTATACATTAAAAACTAGAAAACATTTACGTTTTGTAGCAGCAACACACAACAAAATATTTATGCCCCGTTTTAATTTGAAGCCTTCCCAGATATTTTGGCTAATTTATATCAAGTTCTTTTTCTTCAAGCATTAGAAATTTGTTTCTAGCATTAGAAATTTCTTTCAATACACAAACTAATGTTCCCATTAGTGCTTATCTGCTACTAGTCAATCACTCGAAAATGTACTTATGAGGTGTTACTCGATCTGGTAAAAGTTAAATAGTCTAAAACACCTGATAGATGCAAAGCAAATTATTGCTATGTCTAAAAGTAACTACAAAGTCAGATAAAGGTTTAAATAAACCTCTTATTTAAAAAGAACTTCGAATATAAAGGCATATTCTTATGCTAACAAAATAAACTACAGTTCATGGCGATGTAATTAATCAGGAATGGTCAAATGCAAACTAAAAATGTGGACTAATAGTCAAACACTACACAATTTAATTTTAATCTAAGCTAGCTGAGTGACTCTGTCGTCATAACAAATTCAAATGTTGGCAGAGATAATGCAAAGATGAATAATTATAAATTCTCAGAGCTGGCAGGAACTAAAGCAGTATGCAAGTAAGGCCAGAAAAACTTATCTTACAATCGAAAAACCTCAGTTTAGAAACTATCTAACTGATTTGCATTCTGGTGAGGAAATGGAAAGGAGATGTTTCAGTAAAGGCTGAAATTATAAACAACTGGTTAACTTACATAATAATAAATATCTTTGAAGAATAATATTTCTTTCTCTTTACGTATTCAGTTTCATTTTTCAATAAATTTCCTCTTCATTTTATGAAAAATAATTAAAAAATTTAATTACATTTAATTATTAATTAAAGACACTTTAAATTAATTATACAGCTATTTTGCTTTTGCTACGAACTATTTTGTAAACTATGTTTTATAGCATTTATTACCTTATTTATTTTTCAGACTCAAAATAATGTGTAATGATTGGATAAATACAAAATGGAAAGTAATGTCACTTTATAATATGACAACTAAAAATATTTTATTTAAATGTTATTTCTAAAAAATAATTTCAATATATTACTATTATTTTAATGAAATTTATCAGTGTTATAATGTCTAAAAAACCGATGATAAATTTCCCAACTCTTCTAATTAAAAATTTTCTATAAAAAATTATCTTAAAATCACTAAAATGCTGTTAAGTCGGCAAGTTTAGAACTATTTAATAAAAGAATTCCCATCTCCAAAAGCGAAAAGCTCTTCACTAGAAGAAAATGAAATAATTTTGAAACGTTTATGTTTCACTTCTTGCCCCAAAATTCGAATATCCCTACGTTTATATTAAAAATAGGAACAAATTATAACCCACGAACCCATTCAAAAGATAACCATATTTGTCAGTGAATTGCCAAAACTATCCTTCAAAATGGCAGTCATAAAAATGGACAGAAATTTCAGATGATTAAAATTAAGGACTTTTAAGAACAAAAATTTGATTAAAAAAATCTAAGGATTTTTAAGGACTCTTTAAGGACTGTATGAATCCCGTTGTTGAGTTTTGTGAGCTTTGTTGTCGAGCTCCAAAAAATCACAGTATGAGCATGAATTAAAACAATATGAATGAGGTATGCAGTAATTCTTTGATATCTAAAGCCGAAATTGGCTAAATAACAAAATCATTGAAACAATCATGTCTTTTCACACAAAGGGGGGAGGGAAGAACTTTTTCCATAACTGTGGATTTTTAGCAGATTGTGCTAGAGAAAAAAAAATTTTTTTTCACTATTCTTGATCAATTGACTAAAACTGGCAACTGGCTAAGACTGAGAAAAATACCACAGATCGAAGTATTATTCTTTCAGCTTGCTAGAAAGCATTCAAGACAGATTAACTGAGAGACAACTTTTCATTTACTCAAATGGAGATTAACCTGGCCATGTCTAAAAACCAAGTTTTTTTACTGTGGAATGACAGAAGGAAAAAATATGCGAGATAATAGCAGGGATAACAGATGGCAATATTAAATACATGTCACACTATTTAGGAATTTTTTTTTATCCACAAAAGTATATAATGTAATTGTGCATAATCTGAAATTTATAAACAATGTTAAATCCTCCATCAAACATAAATTACAGCTATTCATTTTTTGTTTTGTGTTTTAAATAGAAATACAAATAAAAAAAAATTTTTTTTTTGTTTTCTATTTCCAAAAATAATGTAATTTTTTTTTGTTTTGTTAAGTGTGTTCTTTTTTTGAATGCTGGTTTAATTTGCATAACCAAATGAGCTTACTCTCCAAATAAAAGTGCTTAAAAATACAGATAAATTTTTAATAGCATTTTCTATTAATTATGATATAGGTTATTCCTCTTCCAGATGCTTTTTTAACTGGCATCATATTAACCATCAACAGTATTACTCTGGTTAATCAAAAGCCTACTACATTTACAATTTCAAGAGTTCCTGTTTAAGGCCTCATTCAGTTAAAACATTTAGCGATCATTAGTCATGATTCGTCATCAGTTGCGACTGGTTTTGCTGTTTTGGTATTCAATTGAAACACAACGATCACTCTGAGCT